AAATAATAATAACATTTTTGTTTTTAGTATCTACCGTAGAGAATAATCAGTCTACAAAAGGATTGTCTATCCATCCCTCTATTCTCTTTCCTTCCAACAATACACTTGTAATTTTGTTTTATTATTTCATAATTTTCATGAAGCGAGTATGAGAAAGGAGATCACCCACTCAAGTCTTGCCGTATTATTCTGCTTTCTGCCTATTTCTATCTGTTGAGTCCATGCTGTCCTCTACACAAAGAATTTAAAGCTGGTTCCAGGGACTGGCAAGAAATATAAAATTAATTATTTATGCAAATAGAGAGTCACAGCAGCATAATAGATAAGGATAATGTCACCAGTAAATTGGATCAACAAATACTTTAAATTTTAATTTTAAAACTTTGTACTTTTATCTTCTTCCTTCATTCTCTCTTGCTTAAATAGCATCAGCTATGCTTCAATTCTTTTATTCCTCAGTTCATAAATACCAATAAAAATAAAAGTGAAAACATGGAAGATATTAGGAGGGCAAATAAAGAATTTAGTTCACAAATGTGCTAATTGGATTCTTTTAATGAAATAATATATTTCATTCACTAGGTAAAAATCATTTGTCATCTAGTAGTAATCCTCATATAATAGGATTGTTGCAAGGATTAAACGAGTTAACAAATGGAAAACTTTAAGAATGATAGTCTATAAATGTTAGTTTCACCATTATCATCATCCTCAACTCTTAAAATTCAATGGTTTTATGGCAGTTTTTTATGTTCAAATTTTCTTCTAAACAGTAAGATTCTGTAGAGTCTGTTTTCTGCCTGATTCCTCTTGTTCTTCCTAGCATCTCGCACATTGGCTTGTGTTCAGTAAGTAAAAAGTCATCATCCAAAACAGGGGCAGATGTACTTGCTAATGCCCATAGTACCACTGCTTTGGGAAGCCAAGGTAGGGGAATTGCTCAACTCAGGAGTTCGAGGTTACAAGGAGCTGTGCTCACACATCTGCACTCCAGCCTGGGCAACACAGTGAGATCCTGTCTCAAAAAATACCTAAGTAATTAATTAATTAATTAAATGAAAGTATTAGATAAAAATTGCACCACTTTTAACTATTGGTTTGGGATGTGGGAAATGATGTTAAATTGTGGGTTCTTTTCCCATAATGTCCTACCATTATCCTGTTACTTTGCAACCCCACAGAAGACACACGATTATGTTTCATCCCTAAAAAGGCCTTTGTACATGTAACACCAAAAATTTTTAAGTAATCTCATGCCTAGGTCAGTAAATAGAAAGAGAGAGGGTTAGTGATAAATTTTCTTTATGTAAGTAAAAATAAATATGATAAAAGATAACTAGACAAAAATAATTCACAAGAATTTGTCCCCTGACTGGCAGGGGATGAGAAGTGGGGGTGGATAGAGAAAGTTATTACTATATGAAGATATATAATGTGCCATATATTCTTTAACTCTCATATTTAATACAACCACCCATTGAGGGAAGTATTTTGTTGTTCATTTTACCAGTAAGTAATTAGAAGATCATAGAGCTTAAGTCACTTGTACAAGATCACTCACCTGGTTTAGGTTAAAACGGGATTCAAACCCAGTTTGCTGGATTCTAAACCTCTTGTCAATTATGCTTTATAACGTAACTCCCATCATGTAGGAAGAACAATGAGAAGAAGAGTAACAGATCCTAGAAGACCATGAAAAATCCTAAGTATTTTATGTTGTCTTGTTGCAGCCAAGAACTTAGTGGTAGATGGTAAAGGCAACTAAGCAAAACTCTGGTTCAGTTAGAACTCCTGATGTTCTGAGGATAATATGAGCACTCAAAAGAGATATTTGAATAGGGAAAAGCTGAGAGGACAAGAGAACAAAATCAGCCCCCAAATGTCTGCATGCTGATTTGTCACTATTGCACTCTTCCTCCAGATGTATTTGCTAGAAAGAACATAGAGTTGGTGAGTAATTTATGAAAATTACTCAGCACTTTCAGTCTTGTTTCTTTTCTAGTAGTCCAGTACTAGATTTTGTTTATTTATTTTAATAGAGCCATTTACTTTTATTATTATATATTAACTCATTTTAATATTTTTCTTTATGTCTCATTTTCCTTCCTAAATGCAGGCTGTATTAGGTCCTCTGGCTCTAGAAAGAGCAAGAGCCTCTGCACCCCACTTGGAATCGTATTCAAAGGATGTGATGACACTAGCATTTTTAGCCATCTTAATAACAGCTCCAAATGGAGCTCTACTCATTGGCCTGCTGGGGCCCAAAATACTTAAACGTCATTATGATCCAGAGAAAATAAAACTGCAGTTAGCACAAGTGAAACATCATTAAAACATTTATTTTTCATTACCTGCCTGCTTCTTTTAATGAATTATCTCACAGAAAAATTTAAAACTACAAATATGTGGAGATTGTACATAGAACAGAAGATTTAGTAAATATATGATTTCACTGCAGGGCTTTCCTGTGGTATTTTATTACAAAGTTAATTTAATGAAAAATGTATTAAGTAGAATGTTTAAGAATAAAGTAAATCTGTAAAGACCCTAAGAAAGTTTAAAGTAATCCATCTAGCTGAATTTGATGTTATATACAAACTAAGCTTAATAACAAATTAAACAAACCTTGAATTAATTTTTATGAATGGTAAGAAATAGGGATCCTGGTGGCGCCTGTAGCTCAGTGGGTAGGGCACCAGCTACATACACCAAGGCTGGCGGGTTCCATCCTGGCCAGGGCCAACTAGAACAACAATGACAACTGTAACAACAACAAAAAAAAATGGTTGGACATTGTCCTAGGAACCTGTGGTCCCAGCTACTTGGGAGGTTGAGGCAGGAGAATCGCTTGAGCCCAAGAGTTTGAGGTTGCTATGAGCCGTGACACCACGGTGCTCTACCCAGGATGACAGCTCTGTCTCAAAAAGAAAGAAAGAAAGAAAAAAGAAATAGGGATCCTGTTTCATGCTTCTGAAGGTGGCTATCCAGTTTTCCCAGTGGTATTTATTGAATGGGGCTTCTTTTCCCTCAGTGTACATTATTGTCTGCCTTATCAAAAATGAGCTGGTTCTAAGTAGATGATTTTATATTTGGGTTTTCTGTTCTGTTCCATTGGTGTAAGTCTTATTTTTGTACCAATACCATGATATTTTGGTTTCTGTAGTCTTGTAATATATTTTGAGGTCTGGTAACATGATGCCTCCAAATTTGTTCTTTTAGCTTAAGATTGCTTTGGTTATTTGAGCTCTTTTCTGGTTCCAAATGAAGAAAAAAAATTTTTTCTGTATCTGTGAAATATGACATTGGTATTTTGATGGGGATTGCATGGAATTTGTAGATCACTCTGGGTAGTGTGGGCATTTTAACAATGTTGATTCTACTTATCCACGATCATGAGAGGTTTTTCCATTTGTTTGTATCCTCTATTATTTCTTTCCTCAGAGTTTTGTAGTTCTCCTTGTAGAGATCTTCCACCTCTTTCCTTAAATATATTCCTAGGTATTTCATGTTCTTGGTAGCTGTTGAAAATGATATTGAATCATTGATTTGACTCTCAGCTTGACCATTATTAGAATATAGAAATGCTACTGATTTATGTACATTGATTTTGGAGTTTTCTAGGTACAGGATTGTTGGCAAAGAGGGATAGTTTGACAACTTCTGTCCTGATTTGGATATCATTAATATTCTTCTCTTTCGTGATTGCTTTGGCTAGTATCTCCAGCACTATTTTGAATAGAAGTGGTGACAATTTTGTTCAGAAAGTGTTGGGAACACTTTCAACTTTTCTCCATTTGGCATTATGTTGGCTGTGGTTTGTAATATATGGCTTTTATAATTCTGAGACATGCTCCTTCTATGCCTAGCTAACAAAGTACACAGGCAATCTATAGAATAGGGGAAAATATTTGCAAACTGTATATCTCACAAAGGACTAATTTTCAGAATCTACAAAAACTAAAACGAAAGCAAGAAAATAACAAATAACCCCGTCAAAAAGTGTGCAAAAATCATGAACAGATTTTTTTTTCAAAAGTAGATAGACAAGTGGCCAATACACATATAAAATAAAGATTCAAAGTCACTAACACCGTCAATAAAATGCAAATTAAAACCACAGTGAGATACCACCTTATGCCTGTCAGAACAGTCATCATTAAAAAGTCAAAAAACAACAGATGCTAGCACGGATGCAGAGAAAACACACTTATATCACTTTTGGTCGTACTGCAAATTAGTACAACCTCTATAGAAAACAGTGTCAGGATTTCTTAAAAAGCTAAAAGTAGATCTACCATTCAATTCAGTAATCCTCCTAATGGGTATCTACTCAACAAAAAGAAATGACCTAGCACTATTGGAGGCTGAGGTGGGTGGATCGCTTGAGCTTAGGAGATCAAGATGAGCCTGAGCAAAAGCAAGACCCTGTCTCTACTAAAAATAGAAAAATTATCCAGGCATTGTAGCAGGCTACTATAGTCCCTAGCTACTAAGGAGGCTGAGACCTTAGGATCATTTGAGCCCAGGAGTTTGAGGTTGCCGTAAGCTATGACACAATGGCACTCTACCGAGGGTGACAAAAATGAGACTCTGTCTCAACAATAAAGGAACAGAAATGATGTTATCAAAAAGACACCTGCACACAAATGTTTATTACAGCACAATGACAATTGAAAAGCTATGAATCAACCTAAGTGCCCCTTGATACATAGGTGGGTAGAGAAAATATGTGTATATGTGTGTGTGTGTGTGTGTATATATATACTGTATAATATATAATCCATATATATATTCCACATATATGTGTGTGTTTGTATAATGGAGTACTATACTCAGGCATAAAGAACAAAATAATGTTCTTGCAGCAACCTGGACGGAACTGGAGACCATTATTTTAAGCAAAATACCCCAGTAATGGAAAAACAATGCCACATGTTCACACTAATAAATGGAAGCTAAACAATGGGTGTGCCTAGGCACAAGAAGACAATAAAGGACATTGAAAACTAAGAAGGGGGGATGGCAGGAGAGAACTGAGTCATAAAAATTTACCCATGGGGTACGATAAACTCAGTCCTGGTGGCAGGCACACTGAAAGCCTTGGCTTCGGCATTATAGAGTATTCTATGTAACAAAATCTTCTGTACCCACTTAATATTTTGAAATATAAAAAGAGGAAACAAATGTACTGGTAGGTAAGATCTACATAGCAAAATAAGCACAGAATATGAAATTTATACATAAATTTCCGAAGGGAAGCAACTAAAATTTAAGGCAATCAAAACTATATATCATTCCTATGAAGACTGAGACCTTTCACAAAATTTATCAACAAAACTGCTAAAACTGCTAATAACTCTGGGAAAAGATAAAATAGCTACTCTTCTAATGGAATTTTCTTACATACTTTACTACATAGCACAGACTCCATGCCTCATTTTCAGCTTTATAATTCTAGCACTCAAATTCTAAAAATGTTTATATTGTGCCAGTGCTTTGACTAATTTAAATGAAGGCTTATCATAGTCACTTATAAGAAAATAAAAATACATTTCTATTCAAAAGGTGGTATTTTATATTAACAAGAGAATTAAATTTTAAAATACAAAAAAAAATTTTTTTTTGAGACAGTGCCATGGCACATTATAGCTCACAGCAACCTCAAATTTTGGGCTCAAGCAATCCTCTTGCCTCAGCCTTTTAAGTAGCTGAGACTACCTGCCATAACGCCTAGCTAGTTTTTCTATTTTTTAAAGGAACAGGGTCTCATTCTTGCTCAGGCTGGTCTCAAACTCCTAAGCCCAAGCCCTCTACCTTCCTCATCTTCC